CACTGCAGTGTCCCCCTGTGGTGTTTCCTCCCTTTGAAGATGCAGAAATACTCTCGTTCGAGTGTCAAGCCGTCTGAGAGAGCGATACGCTCCTTGCGACGCGGCTTTCTGCATAGAGGGACTGAGAATGCTGATTGTTGTAAACTGCGGAGCTGGCCCTGCCTCTTCGTGAAGGCCTTCATCGGATGCGCGTTGCCTCAAGTGGCTTCCTAATGCAAGGAACAGCCGCGGAATTGAAGCAACGATTATTAAAGGGGTGGCATGGAAACTTCTCATTCAAGGCATCCTAATAAATAGGAGAGATTGCGCAAAGGGCGAGGGGTGATGGAAGAAGCGCAAATGAACGAGGGGTGCTGGAAACTTCTGGGCTGCAGTTGACGACTGTTCTCGCATATGTCGTCGAATGTATGGGTACGAAAATTGCTGTTATATCTTTGGCGTATCGCCATGAGATTACTAATTCCTTGCAGGGAGGTTGCGATTTTGAGTTGGAAAGATTGGTCGCCTTCCATGTGAGCTCAGGGTGTAAACATTCGTCCAATGATTAGTGATCAACCGGAGGTTGAACGCCTAAAGAGGTATAGCTCAGCCACAATGCCAACGAGGTGTCATGAAAGGCTGCTTAGCAAATTCCTTTTTTTTAAGTTTCTAAGCTTTTCTGTGTTGCGCCGGCATCCACTATTTTTGAGAGCGCGCTTTGCGCACCGACAACCAGTCACGCAAAGTTGAAAATTGATGGCATCGATGGGGACAACATAGCAATTGCGGTACCGAGATACCAGGTCTGATATCCATGACATATTATCACAAAGAAAATTGCGAATCAGGACCTTTGGACGCGAAGATACGTACTTCATCCCCACCCTTTGCTACTTGTACAGTTTGTTCTTGCGATCAGCCATTAAGTTTCATGTCCAACCGAAACTGAGCGTCCATAACGGATTCCGCATAACGGATCCACATAACGAATTTATCCTTAAAAGCTCCAGTTTGCTGTTTCACGGAATCGCTTGCCAAGGGAAAGCTTAAACACGGAATTATTGTATCCGTTGATGCGACATTGTGGCCGCATTTCCATTGATGCAATACCCATCAATGCCGCAGCAACCGTCCATGCACCAAGATTGACAAATGTTGACGTGTATTGCCAACAAGGCTCCAAGCTGGTGCGCAGGCCCTGATGCAGCAACGTTCGCCTTCGCATCAATGGTTTCGCACCCGCGATTTCCCAACTGCAGATGTATGGCTAGAGCCAATATCTACACTCCGGTAAGAAATTTCTTCACTCAATTTCTTCATATATGAATAAACGGGAAGTCATATATTCAGCTGCGAATCACCAATTCGGTACAAAAGCAGGAGGGGACGGGCTGGAACGTTGGGCATCCGATTTCCGGTTTTCGGTCTGATTCTATGATGCCATCTTGTGGCGCTCATGACACCATTATTGCCTTGATGACAACCCTACCGGCATCGCGATCTCTAGTGCTGACCCCCTCCACGTTAACAGCACTGCAGCCGCCTTCTGCAATGGTCAGCGACTGCTCCCTACAGGAATCCACCGCATCTGGGCTGGGGGCAGGTCGATCCAAAGCATCCTGCAATGCAAGACACATGCTTTTAGGCAGACGCGCCACCGACCCAGTTTCAGTGAAGCACCTGCAAAAAGCCGGGCGCTTCACACGATTTTGCTCCATGCTTAAGTCGTGTGGAATTGATCAATCAATTGAGAAGGGTGAACAAAAACTTGTGGTGCGTTGAACATTTTCAGTTTAGTTGATTTGATCTAAGTTAATCGCCGCTGCTGCTTCAAAACCACAATTTTAAATCGCGTAATTGAAGTGCGAGCCCCGTCAGATGGATCAAACTGTGCAGTATTATCCCTGCTGCTGGTGTCATTATTGCCATTACAACACTATTTGCAGGTAGTTTCTTCGTGCGCCCCTGAGCTCGTGTGCACCGATGCCCTCCTGCAAAGATTACCCGACCAGCATTACAGGCACCATCGCTCTCGGAGCGCCCAAGGAGCAACGCATGGGGAGGAGCACCAACACTTTTGCAGAGCGCCGGGGTCACCGCACATCCACAGCACTTGGGGTTGTTTGGCGGAGAACGGAAACAAGATGACCTCGAAAAAGCCTGCGGATGCACCTAGCGCCTCACATCGACCGACAGGTGCAAGGGAGCGGTTTTGTGAGTGCTGTGAGGTCGCCGTATGTGTGCGAGGAGATATGACATACGTGTCATATGCGTGCATGTAGTATGTGCATGGTGGAGATGGCGACGCTGTATGATTTGGCTGATTCCAATGCAGCACTTCGTATTTGACCCAGTGTGTATCGTCTCAGCCCTCCTTTGCGGTCTGCCCCCAGTGCCTGGGTGCGGCCGTGGGTGAGAGTACGTCAAGCGCTGATCAGCGTTGTTTGTCGCGATACGCACGATCAAAGCGGGTTCAAGGACAGAGGCGCGAGATTCAAACGTTCTGGAAAACCAGAGGGACGTCTCCTCCCCTAACCTGGGGGCACTGGATTAGCAACCGAGAGGGGTACACAATATGTGTCGGCCCTTGGCTCAAAGCCTGAATGTGCACTGCCCAAGAGGCCTGCCCATCGCACGAAGTTCACATGTCCATGACACATTTCGTCTAAGCCGCGCATCCCAAATATGCCTCCTGTGAATATTTGGTCTTCTATTCTTATTGCTTGTTGCTTGAAGTTGTGAACAAATGAACGGACGTGGGCAAACGTGGTGAGCGCCTCATGCCCCGCCATCCACAATCCGAAGAAACCCCGTCCTAGCAATTATCCACTTTCGTGCTTCAGTCAAACACAGCTGCACCAGGAGCAACGCTGTTGCAATGAAATTTGTCCATTGGTGAAAGCTTGCAAATGGACACGATCGCGGTGTCCGACGCCGACATGACGCCGCCCTTCATCAACGACCGCTAGGCGTGGCGCACGGCCTTCGTTCCGTCATGTGCCGTGCAGCAACCCCAAGACGCCACCGTCCTCCACCATGGTGACGTCTTGGGATGGTGCTGGGACGGTGGCGCCCTGGTCTTAGGAGCTGCAGATACAACTCCTGAAATGAAGGTCTGCGCCGCCGCCCCGCCCACCTGCGCCCTGGCCTCGCTGTCGTACCCATCCGTCCAAGGTTCCCCGTCCTCGCTCGTGCACGAGCTGTAGCGCGTGGCCGCCTCCCCCCTCTGCCGCTTCCTCCTCCTCTTGAGCGCGGCGTCCTCGCGCAGCGACTGCACCGCTCCCTCGCTGCCGCCGTCACTAGTTGACCGTATCACGACCCTGCCCACCTGCATCCCTGTCGGCCGGGCAGCCGCGGCTCCGCCCACCCACAAAGCCTTTCGGGACACAACCCTGGGTCCCTTTCTCAGCCCGTAGACAATATTTTTGGTCGGCTGTTTCTGGCCCAGTACTTCGGACTTTTAAGATGCTGGGTTCGACTTCTGGGGACTGTAGCCGGCCGTGTCTTGCCGCGCGCGCGCGCGTGTGTGTGTGTGTGGGTGGGTGGGGGGGTGGGGGTGGGGGGGGTCAAGAGAGCGGCGAAACACCTCCAAGGGGCCTTGGAGGCAGAGGACGCCCTGGCCCCCAGCATTCACCGCCAGATACCGGGACTTGGGATGTTGAGGAGGCAAACCGGCGGGGCTCACAATCCGGGTGTGAGGGGTGGCTGGGGGCGGCATGTCCGGTGGCTGGTCCAGCTCCCTCGCCTGCCTACGGACGAACCGAGAACAGCATTGTCGGAAGTTGGGCACTACTGACATTTGCGCTTGTCGACTCGGCGCTGACGCAGTGTGGCATGGCCCCACCTGTCATGGCGCCCGCGCCTTCCGCAACCGCTATCCGCCTTCCCGTGGCCCAACCAGCACCGGTGGCCCCAAGTATCCGTGATGTTGCCATGGTCTCCATTCCCATAATCTGGTCCAAGTAGGCTCAAGCGGCCCACTTAAAGCCGTCTCATGGCATCGTTGCTGCCGCTCTTGTGCTCTTCAGCTTTCATTTGCGCAATATCCTCCCAGGTGGCAGCAACACAATGCTGCCACTCGTTTGTTCTAGAGCGCTTCCTGGTGCCAGCCCACTCGTTGCATTTCGATGTTGCTCAGCATCGTTGCCCCGTTGTTTGCAGTTGCAGCACGCGAGTGGCATTTTTTGGGTTTCGGGGTCTAGTGTCATATCGTCGCATAAGTATGTGCAATCGGCATTTTTCACGACACATCAGCCTCACAATCCACAGAACCTGCGAGCCTTCCATTTAAATGCCAAATTTGGCATAACTAATTGACATGATTAAGTGCTGACTTATACCGCCTGCAATTTGAAGTTCATGCTGATTAGCCGACCGCACAAGCAGGAAAGCAAATGGGCAGTGACGTGCGCATACGTGCCACATCGTGCACAACAGCGCAAGCAGGAAAGCAAATGGGCAGTGAGGTGTGCATGCGTGGAACATCGTGCACAACCGCTCAGGACTGTGCTTCTGAGTGCAATGTCGTCGGGCCCGCACAACATGCCAAAGATGACGCTATGTGTGGCACGAGTAATGTTTTGTAAATAGTCAGGTTGCACGCTGATGCCAAGTCCGGCTGTCAGCGCTCACGAAACTGTGGCCATCCTCAGTAGTGCGGCTTTGGTGTGCCCCAAACTCCGGCCACTTCGGAACTCACAACTCAGCCGTGCCTGCACATCACCGCCCCGTGCTTCTTCTAATTGTGTGCCTGCCCAACACATGCCAGGTTGTTGCGTGGTGCCTCTGTCGGTCCGTGGCATGAAAGGTCCAGGTCTCAAGGGGGTGAAGGCATTCGCTCCCGAGCGAGGTCGGTGGCTCCCAATACCAGTGAACCAATTTGCGAACGAGGAATGATTGCGACTGCTGACGTAGTGGAGCCAAGCAGCCTGTGACAGCTGCAGGCCGGCGACACAGCGTAGCACTAGACGGCATGTGACACTAACCAACCAACAGAAAGTTGTGAGGCGCAGAGGAGCTGCCTAACGATCACAATGTTGCGACAACACAGCAGCCGGAAGCATCCTGGGAAAGACGGTGGGCCCTGTATGGATGACTACACTTTGATCGTACACAGGTGTCCCTGCACCATGAATTCCCAACCCTGACTTTTGATCCCTACTCCTGTCTAATAGTGCCTTGTTGTGTGTGTGCCAAGCGTGGCCTCGTTGTGCCCACAAACTCAGCAGCCCACTGCTGTGCAACTGCTGTTTGGGTAGAGAAAGGGGAACAGCAAATGACAATCGAAACACGGTCAAATGTGAAGGGGGCAGTTTGCTGTGCATTTCAGCCTGCCCAGCCCCAAAGACAACCGACTGTTGGCCAGTGCGCTCAAAGCCCGCAGTGTCCACAATAAAAGCCATTCACGTCATCAAGTGAAGGCGCGAACGGGCACAAAGCAGCCCACGCAAGTATGGAACAATTCTCCAGTCGCACCGCATGTCAATGCCGCAGTACAGGGGGGCACAGGCATCAAACATTGGCTGCCGGTGGCGGCATTTGCTTGCCAGCCGTAAAGATGGACAGCAAGTTCTGGTTGGCCTGCAGCACACCACGGCATTGTAAGGCCTGTCAATTCCCAAGCGAACGCATGGGCGGTCTGCCTCTAACTCTCAGATGCGATCAAGTGAAGTTCCACCAGCCACACAACAGCTGCTCAGTGTTATCCAAATGCGGGTGTGAGCAGCTTCCCCATCTTTGAGGCACGCACTTGCAGGATGCAAAACGAGGTTGAGGGTCTGAGGGGGCAAAAGGGTCAGTGTCAAAGCCAGCAGCTGCTACAAGGAAAGGATGTCGACGCAAGCTTTCACGTGCAGCGAACAACGCTTCATGTGCAGGTGTCTCACCCACAACACTTTTATGCGGAACGTAGCTAACACAGCAAACGAGGTCACTGTGGCTTTTGAGAGCCTTTCAGCAGCTGGCCCTCCGGTTATCAACCATCAATGGAGTACCAGCAGGTTCAGCACTTGATTGACGAATGCCAGCATCCAAGTAATTCAGCGCTAAATCCGTTGACAGCTTGACGATTCATGCTGTATGTGTATTGTGAACCGTGGCGTTCATGCACCAAAGGCGTCAGTCTCTGTACTCTCTTTGCAGCAATAACAGTAGCAACAGCAAGAACAACAGGGATGACAGTGACTATCTTCATAATATGGCAACTAGTTGTGCGATGTCCACACACACCGCTGGTGCCTGTGCATCGTCCAGGAAAAGGTCATCGGGCGCCCTCGTTGCTCCATGCAAGGTGATGAGACAGAAACCAATGGACAATGCCCCAAAAACCACAGCACCAACACTGCAGCACAATGTTGAAAACAAATCAGTTCATGAAAGCCAGCAGTCCACATTAGAATATGCAATGAAAACATGCAATCAAACCATGGAATCAAAATGAACGGCCCTGGACACCCTGTGCACGGGTGAATTTGTGCAACCAAACACGAACATCAACACAAAACACAGGAATAGCAAGGCATCAAGCAGCATCTACTGCAATGATAGTTTTAATCCACTAGGAAAACATGCACAGCACACACCAGCAGACATGAATTGAATCCTTTATCTTCAATCATCGCTCCAACCAACTTTGAGAAACTAGCGTTTGGCTGAAATCTCCCACAGAGCCCACCTTGTGAGGAAAAATATGACTACAAAAGATATTGCTGCCATTCCCAGTAGTTTCGTTTGGTCACTGCGAACACAACGCACACATTCTCATGCTGTCTGCAGCTCCTCACAGTGCTGAGCAAGTACTGCTACTGCAACATACAGCCAAACATCCTGCATACTGTGCATCGCCATTGCCACCATTGTCAACTATTTGACAGTGCACCTGTGACAACAACCTGCTGAGCATGCTAAACTATGCAAACAGCATGCTGGAGCTGTGGTAGTGTACAGAGACAAACGTGGCTGAAAGCTGCATGCTTGCTGGAGATCACAGTGGCCCAGACACTTGACGCTGAAGTATCATCAAATCTGAGTTTCAATTATTGATGCCAAATCAATGATTGTTTATGATTTTCAAAGGTTGCTGAGAAGTACATGCACGAGCACAAGGACAAAGCCTGCACCACATGAACGTCAGCAACATTGAAAGGGAATGCATGGGGGAAAAGTGCTTGCTGGAGATCACAGTGGCCCAGACACTTGACGCTGAAGTATCATCAAATCTGAGTTTGAATTATTGATGCCAAATCAATGATTGTTTATGATTTTCAAAGGTTGCTGAGAATTACATGCACGAGCACAAGGACAAAGCCTGCACCACATGAACGTCATCAACATTGAAAGGGAATGCATGGGGGAAAAGTTCATACCTGAGAGTGTGATTGCCGATCACCAGTGGAGTAGTGCGAATGACAAACACATAAAGCCATGCCACCAGCAGGGCGCACAACACCATCAGCGAGCCTGGGTTCATCAACATGCACACCGTGATGGCCATGATTACAACAATGAGGTAATTGATTTTGAAGTAGGCAACATTCTTCTTCAATCGAGATGTGGCCTACAGAAGAAGACAAAAGAGAAGAATGTTGGCACAAGAGGTTCATTTAAACTTCACTCACAAGAATAGCTTCACAAACTCACACATATCAAGTCACAATTGGCGATTTGAAGGCACTAATACGACGTTGGTGTTGGCACAAAAGCATGAATGCATCAACACAAAGCAGTGTGACAAAGGGCATGGCCAGGACACACACATCTGCAGAACTTAAGGAGGGCCCCAGACAAGGAAGTTCACAGAATTGTACCAGCCCCAGGGTTGCCATCGCTACCGTGAGTGTGCAGCCAGAATGTGGCTGCTGCAAGTCAATGTTCAGCTGCTTGGCTCCAATTAAACCTTGCAACTCTAAGCCATTCAGCCTGTCCTTCAAATCAAAATGCGTTCCACACTGGGACACCCACGATTGGACAGCATGCACTTCAGGAATGGACACACAAGGTGTACAGGAGCGACCCCCACAACGAGAATGACGGGGCCACCATGTACAATCCCGTCCAACCACTGAGCTGAAAGGCAACATGTTGCTTGCTCAAGTATTTTGCCAAGACCGCAGTTATTTTAGTAGTTTGGAATTGGGCTCAGGGTACACTAAACATTAGGAAGACTGGGGGATCAAGTGGATACCAAGTTGCAGAGAAGATGGCACCTGGAAGATTTGTGCCCATGTCCACATTCCGATGGCACAATTCGCCTGGCGCCTTGGCTTAACACAGAAGTGCTGCGAACGGGTGGAGCGCGAGTTGCGAACAATGGTGGAACTGGCAAGCAATCTGAAGGAATTCATGCTGGTCGTCGCGTTCAAGGGGCGGACGCAAACGCCATCGAACCTTTGAGAAACAGCAACCGCGCGTTCGCGCCATGGCCAACTGAAAGCACACGGTCGCCGACCGCACCGCCGCCGTCAGGAGCCGCGTCCGCGCGGCACTCTCAGCACAACCAAATCCGCAAAACACCTCTCCAAACAAGCAGCATCACAGAAAGCGGCCGCACAGCCCTGCAATCGACGCCGTCCCGAACCCACCCTCACCTCGGTAAGATTCTGCGGTCGAGAGAACGACGTCCGATCCATCACCTCGGACCATGGCTTTCCCTGCGCACGGCACGGGGCGCGCTCGTGAGCATCATGCTGGCTCACGGCCTGCGATCAACATCGCCGACATCCCACCGGCCTCGCTCCTTCACCGCCGATGTGGCTGCGCCCTTCGCACACCTGCTTCAGGATGCCGGAGGCGTAGTCCTTGAGCCGACCGGCCACGGACAGGACGGCCGCCGGCTGGACGGACGGCCCCGCGGCCGCGGGCTGGGACGCGGCGCCATCTTGGGGAGGCCCGCCCTGCGCCGTCATGTCTTGAAGGGATGACCGCAGCGACGTTTCCTGCCGTCTGGTCTAGGCGCCTCGACGCCGGAGTGCTCGTCGGCTGTCCGGGCCGGTGTTTGTTGGGACGGCCTTGCCGCGCTCGAGGTGGAACAGGGACGGGGCGTCGGTTCTGGGCGACTTCCCACGTGGGTTTGTTTCCTCCCTTCACCCTCTGCACCAATTTGTCCTTGACGTGCAGCCAGCGCAAAAACACCCGCACTACCTCCCGCGTGCCTACTACTAGTAGGCACTAGTGGGCGCTGCCTGCCTGCCCCTGGCTCCACTTGGTTCTGCCCATTTCCTGGCGGCGTGGGGTCGGGAGGACTGTCCCCAACCATTTGCTGGCCCCACACGCCAGGCGCCGCTGCGGCGACGTTGCGCAGCCGACGTGCCTTGTGAATGCTTCCAACGGCCGCGGCCGCCTTCTTTTGCCCGCGCGCCATCTTCCCGTCAGTTTGAACGACATGAACAACGCGAGGTGCATCGGCGGTCGTGGCGGGCAGGCTCTGAATCATCGCGGGGCTTTCGATCCGGAATGGAGCCTCTCTCGCGTGGGCTCTGATGATACATAGGGCGTGCAGATGGAAGTCTCTGGAGCAGCTGTTTTGGATCCCGAGCATTGCGAATGGGTCGACATCGCATGGCGGATGTGTTGGGAGTGCCAGGCAAGCCGCCGGCGACGCAAAGGTGGGCACTGTGCAGGTCCGTCGACAAATTGGTCTTCAAACTGATCGTTTGGGCCCAGTAGATGCATGGGTGCTGCTGAGATGCACCATGCCCTGTGAAGCCGATCCCAATTGCGCTCATAGTAAGGACTTTGTGGTGGAACTGTCGGGAACCCTGCACATCGAATGCAAGTTGACTTCTGACAGATTGGGCTTGTGGGCGATGGAGGCAGAATTGGAAAATTTTGGCAAACATCAGTGACTACACATTGTGACAAGCCAACCACTTGAATACCAGTGGATCCCAGCCAATCCCATCTTGTGTATCTGCTATTGTCCCCTTCAGCACTGGCAAAGTGCAAGGCGTTGTTTTGTCGCCCTTGGACAAGTGCAATGAACAGAATTTAAACGTCAATGTGCAGAATATCCAGGGTGCAAGGAAGTGCGCAACACCATCGGTGGCAACATGGGCATGGGGTGAAGGGGCCTCAGACTGTGATGTTGTGCGATCAAGCACTTGTGCAAACAAGGGAGCCGTGGAGCTTCCGTTCCATTCAGCCAATCGCTGGCAAGACGTGTACAGTGTGCTGAATGTTTTGCACCGAGCGCCGACCATTCACAACATCGAGGCTGCATTGACGAGGCTGAAGAAGCTCCCAGATCCACCGCCGCAGGAGTTTCTGGACCGGCTACTGCTGGGCGTCCTCAATTTGCTGCCAACCCTTCGACTACAGCATTTTGCAAACATTCTGCATGCTTGCTTTCGCCTGGGCTACTTGCCCAAGGCCGTGCTGGGTGCCATGGCACAGGCACTGACCAAGAAGCCTGCAGAGCAGTTTTGGACATTTCCCTTGGTTGTTTACACACTGGGCACCATCTGCGGACGGCAATTGGGCCAGGCACCTGCTGAACTGTTCCCGGGACAGGGCTTATTCTTGTCAAAGGTGGGGTCGGAGTGCGTGACACCTGGCACCGTTTCAAAACTGACCGCATGGCAGCTGTCCAACCTGCTGTATGGGATCGCTCGCCTGCAGGGCGAGACAGCACCCCTAGTGTACCCTGTGCTTGAGGACTTGGCAAGGTCGCATCGCAAGGAAATGATGGCGGATGAAAAAGCTGCCTCAGAGGTTCTGTGGAGTCTTTCCAGACTGCAGGTGGAGAAGAGATATTCGAAGCCTGTTCTCAGGGCTTTTGAGTGGGCTGTGGAGGCAAGGGGCTTGTTGACAAAGTTCTCTGACCAAGGAATTGCAACGGTGGTGTATTCGTTGGGGAGGCTGCAACACAAAAGCAGGTACTTAGGAGGCGAGTTGCTGAAAGAAGTGGCCGATCGTGCTGTCCAAAAGAGATTTACTGAGAGGCAGATTGCCAACATTTGGCACGGCCTTGCTGGCATCGGGGTACAAGACCCAAGTCTGCTGCAAGCATTTGCTGAAGAAACGGCTGCAGAGGATAGACTTTCTTGTTATTCTCATGAGGGCATTTCTGCGATCCTGTTTAGCTTGGGACGTCTACAATATGGTGATAAAACCCTGGCACTTCGTCTCCTCAGCCGTATAGAAGACGGCAAACATCTTGCAGCATATTCAGAACGGGCAATTGCAAACCTTGTCTTCAGCGTAGGGGAGCTAAAACTGGGCACAGCTGGTGTTCCCAGCCTTCGGGCTTTGGTGGCATCAATGAAATCTCGTCGGTTTCTGCACCAGTGGACTGAGCAAGGGCTGTCGAATGTGTTCTACGGTTTAGTTGAAGCAGGTTTCAGAGAGGCTGATTTCATGCAATGGTTGGTGCAGGAGATCGTTGACAGGTGGCAGATTGGGAATCTGAGCAGTCAAAGAATACTAAGCTTTGTTGTTGGTTGTGCCAAATTGCTTGGTAAAGAACCGCCGGTCTGCAATCACATGGCATTGACCCTCACGAGAGAATTGTGCAAGGATCATAGATTGCGGGCTCTGAGGCCCAACGATCTGGCAAGTTTGCTCAGCGCTGCTGCAAAACTGGATCTCAGCAACTCTTCCATTTATGGTTGTATCCTTGACGAAATTCGGGGGAGAAACCTTTGTTCCTTCTCCACAAGGCACCTTTGCTCCATTGTTTACAGCATGCGAAAAGTGGATGGTGTGGACCTGAGACTGCTGGATTCGGTTCTGATAATGCTCACAACTACAGCTCATCTGGACAGCATCACACAGCACCACCTAGCGAACATTGTCTTCCATTTAGGGCAGCATGGCAGCACTGGCAACAGGGTGGGAATGGATGTCCTGCTTGAGAGAATCGTGCACACTGGAGTGGGCACATTTACAGAATCACAACTGGCCAAGATCCTGTACGGTGTGGGCCATTGGGGTTGCTCCAAATCAGAGGCGATCTGCATAATCGCACAGGAATTTTGTGATCCTAGGCGTCTGGCAAGTGCAAAGACGCAGGATTTGGCCCTTGCTTTCTTTGCCCTGGGGCAGCTGGAATATGGAGGCACGGCAGAAGTGGAGGCTTTGGTTCAAGAAATAACAGCAACACAGCGATTGCAGGAATTTCATCCAGTGGGCTTGTCAATGATCATCCGAACGTTAGTGCCCCTGAAGTGCACCAATGGGTATGTGTTTGGTACACTGATCAAGGAGGTTGCCAAGAATCGGAATTTGAAACGCTTTACAGATGGAGCACTGGCTAATGTTGTGGATGTGTTTGGTTGCTTGGGAATTGGGGATGAGAAGTGCTTGTGGGCAGTCACCAACGAATTGTTCACACCACGCCGTGCTGTGCGCCTTAAAGACAGCCAATGGTTGGAAGTTCTTCGAGGCCTTGCAATGCTGGGCTTTAGACATGTGGAGGCCCTGGGAATCTTTTCCAAAGTTTTGGACGATGTGAGGTTGCGCAGCATGGCTCCAGACGCTTTGTACTCCCTCTCTGCGTTTGTTGCAGAGTACACTCAGAAAGTTGAGAAAGCAAAGGCGTCTGATGCTGATCGTATTATGACTTCACTCCTTGCTCCAAGGACGATCGCCAAGCTTGCAGCACCCCAAGTTGCTGGCATCATGAGGGGTTTTTGGAGAACTGGTTGCATGACTGCTGATGCTGTGCATGCAGCCATCGACAAGATGACAGACCACAGAATCCTGCCCCAATTGCTGGAATTTGACATGGCTGCACTTGTACATCAACTTGATGTTTTGCCACCCTTGTCCCGTGGCAGGTTGTCAAGTCGTGTCACAAGTGTTGTCCTTGATGGTGCAACGCTTCCCATGTTCTCACAAGGCGGACTACTGTCTGTGTTGCGTTGCTACCGCTCGAATCAACAGGCCAACAGCACAGCACTCTGCAATGTCATCACCGAACTGTTGAGGCCGCACAGGCTCGACGCCATGTCTACCGAGGAGGCGGTCTCTGCATTCAGGCATCTTGTTCGTTTGCGTTGGGGGCACAAAGGCATGGGAAAGCTCCTGGAGCGGGCGACAAGGGAACAAGCAGATCCTGGCCTCACTGAAGCCCAAATGTCCATCTTGGCAGCCAGCCTCACAGAGTGTGAGCTGTACGATGAGAGATTCCTAAGGCTATTATTGGCCGTGGCACACGATGAGGAACGATTGGAAAGGTTCTCCACACCTGGTTTACAGTCTGTGATCCTGTTCTTGGGAGCGATTGGCATGGGTGCAAGCATCGTGGACTGTTTCATTGCAGAGCTACTCAAGCCGTCACGGTTGGCTGGGATGTCCCAAGCAGATGTGCGGTCATCGATGAGGGCAGTGCATACGGTAGGCAGGCAGGACGCCTTTGATGTGGAGGAGCTCATTAGGGCCTCATCAAGGCGAGCTTCTAGAACAGTCAGATAGGATTTGTGGAGGTTCGCTGAAGCATTCACTGAGTAGATGCTCACCGTGCATATGTATTTTGTGTGCGCAACGGATATAAAGTTTCGTGGAGCTTGGAATTGTCAGTGCCAGTGTGTCTTCAGTTTGGCTGGATATGTTTAGTCGCCTTCCCCTCATCTGCTGTGGGTATGAGTTCATCTTCACCAAGCATTTGCGATTGCCCCAGGCATGGCCCACATGTTATACAGTAATCCATCTGGCGTGCTGTAGTGGAACCATTTGCGTTTATTCGCATTGATATTAGTTGACGCTTAGCTGCATCAGTCTGATCTCAAGTGGGTGCCGTCACAGCACTTTTGTGCCTCCCTTGGTAGGCACGATATGCAAAGCGCACATGACTTGTATGTGACGAGTGCAGCTAGGTAGCCACATGGAGGTAGCCACTTACATCGTTTGATTGGTTGATTCTTGCAACACGAACTCGGCCTTACATTTCCATAAGATCTGAAAATTGCGTTCGCAATCAATTTGGAGAACATCATGTGGTGGTGCCATTTGTCCAGACTTCCATCGTGCAATCTCCAGCAAACAAACATCCTCGTATTCTTTCAGAACCACATGTCCGCTTGTTTGAGTGTCCCACACTTCAGCAAATCACAAACTTTGATAGTGCTATTATGGTCACTTGCTACCACATCGCTGAAGTGCAGCTGCCATACGGCTGTCGTAGACTCTGTAGACATGACCACCAGAACATAGACCCTCCACCAACGCCAGAAACAGAGTGGCGAGGCAAGGAGAAGGAAGCCTGGTCTCTGGGATGCGGCCCAATGCTGCATTCCAGACTACCTTTTCTGGTTAGATTTCGTCAGCTGGAGTACAGATTTGCAATTCCCTGAAATCTTGCAGTGCAAGGTGCACAACAAAACGGTGGTCAGGTTCTGCAATGGTTTGAGGACTGCCGAGGGCACCAAGGGTCTGAGCTCTCAGAAAAGTCCTGCCAACTGTCCTCCGAATAGCGGAGCGTCAAATAACAAGTACAGGTACTCGCGGGCCATATGAAGTGGCGGCGAACAACCGGTGTACCGGGATACGACATTGTTAGATCCGACAGGGCGCTGGTGGCACTTCGTAATTGCGATGTTCGCGCCAAATCTGTGCCGCTACTCGTCGTGTTGGTGCATCGCAGTGGTCTGGTTCTGGAAGTTTCCAAGTTTTTATGTGTTAAAGTTGATGACAAATTAGGAACAAAACGAGTCCAGTTGGAATTGACACGCGACGGGCGTCCACAAGGTGTGTCGCTGTCCCGCCCCCAGCGCTCCCGGGCAGCGATCAGTTCGACTGCGGCTGACGCGGAATCATCGGGTTGCATGCCACTGGCAGGCCACGGACGCTGGCACGAGCCTACACGCTGGGAGTGCGTGCGGCAATGGCCCGGAAGCCCCCAAGGCCCCCCGTCGCTCGACCCATCGAGGCGGTCGCATGATGAGCCACACTTGCCGGAGTTGTGTCAAGATATTACGTGTGCTAGAAAGTACAACCAAGGCCTGGGAGCAACGAAGACTATATCGGGTGCTGGAGTTAGTGTCCAGGGGGGAGGGCAGGCGTCCAAACGATCCACTCATCACGAAATATCATTATTGCCTGCACCAAATCAGTGACCGCCTGCACTAAGTCACGCACCCACTATGTCCTAACCTCAGTTTTAGGTTTAGGTTTAGGGTGAGTTTTAGGGTTAGGATTAGGGTCAGGGTAGGTTTAGCTTTAGGGTTTAAGTTAGGTTAGTCTTGGAGGGATTTGGTGCAAGCAGACACCGATTTAGTGCAGAAAGTCACCGATTTGGTGCAGCCAGTTATTGTATGCCACTCTTCACGGGGGGGCGGGATGTGGGTGGCGCGGAGGAATCCAGTTGCTGAAAGGAGGGAAGGGGTACAAGGTGTGACGCGCGAGAAGCCCTGCCTTGCAACGATGCGCGTCAACCGGCCAGCAGGCTCCGCCGTCAAATGAGCGCCCTTCGGCGATGACGCCTTGGGAGGGGGGTGGCAGTGCTTGGCAGCGTGGGTGCTCTCCAGTGCGCACCGTAACGTACGCGTACCGTACGTCACCGTACATTGTGGCCAGCATCCATCAGTCACCCCGGAGGTGACGTACAGGCTGACCAGGCAGCCGGGCGGACATGCGCGCTCCGTACAGGGGCTGCCGAGCAGTGGGCCAGTGAGAACGCGGAGACACGCGGCAGACCGAAGCGGTTGTTCTGGCGCCTGCGTCGACCCCTTCCTCGCCCCCTGGTGGGGCATCTCGCCGCAATTTGTCAGCTGAGCGCCCGGAGTCACGTGCCTACAACGCGGCGACAAATATAGCAGTCCCCCAACGCCCGGCCCCCCTGCGTTCTGCTTTCTCGGCTGCCTGGCCGCGGGTAGCGCGTTGGCCGCCGAGCGACCGCCGGGGCTCGCGTTGAGGACATACGCGCGCACTGGGCACATGCGCGGGCCCCAAATTTATTTTCAACCCCTCTGCCACCGCCGACAGTGTGAGGTGCTGTCAGCAGAACAGACCGGGACCCCCGGTGTTGCGCCAATTGGCGTCGAATCGCCATGAATTTTGCCAGCCGGTGTTTTGCGCCGAGGCCGGGCTGCGATCCGGGCCTCTGAGGCGACCAGAGACGGAGGAAGGCGGCGGGGGCCAGGGTACTGGGAATGGAGGTGCACCAGCTGGTTCAGTTCGTGCAGGTGCAGGAGGTGCACCAGTACCAGGAGGTGGTGCACGTGCACAACGAGGAGGCGGCATGGGAGGGCCGAAGCCGGTGCTGCGGCGCCGGGCCGGTCATGCAGAGATTCATGGCAAGTGGGGGGCCGCGGGGGCCATGCCGGTGACTGTGCTGGGCGGTGATCGGAGGGGAACCCTCACGGGGCGGGCGGGACTTTCTGGGCCTGGCGCAGATCTCGGAAGGAGGATGATCTGTGGTACCGCGCATTTTGTCCACCGCGGGTGTTTCTTTAGCCGTCGTTGATCGGAGCGGGCACTCGCGGGCCATTCTCTGAGCTGCCCACACCCTTCGTGGCGGTTGGTAAGCGCCTGCGGCCGGGCCCGCCCTTGGCACATCGGACGCCGGGAACGCCGTTCGGAAGTATCTGGACCGCTCGGCAGATCTCCAGAGGGGTTGGGCCGGCCCGGGGGGCGATCGCGGCCGATTCCACGGGGAGTGGTGATTCGGGTTCGCCCTGAAACATCGGAGCCGGGAACTGGCGGTATTTCGAGCAGACCCTCCCGGTGTGCGCGCAGCCGCATTTTTCGTCGCCCAAGCCGCCTCCGCCAACTTCGCGTCCATGCGCGGCGGCTTGGGAGGCGGCAGGGGGCCCCGGATACGCCAGATGCGTCGGCGAATCGAAGCGCGTTGCGGTGCTAGTTTTTTGTCTGAGCGGCCGCCGTGTGTCATGACCGCGCAGGGCGGCGGCCGGAAGTACTCCAAGGCCGCGATCGGCCCGGGCAGCCAGTGGCTGGCCAACCCGATCTACACACCGCCGGAGCATCCCCCCCCCGTGGACAGCATCCGCCAGATGGAGTGCCCCCTGCGCACCGTGGCCAAGCACTTGTCCCGGGTGTCGCGTCGCAGCCTGGACAGATCGTCATCGGCCGCCAGATCTGCGTCCTCCTCTAGCGTGAGTGCGTGGGTGGAGCGGGGCGCGCCCCACCGTGCCTCGCTGCGGGCGCTTCCGCGCCTGCCAAAGTGGCGACGCCGGCAGGGGCCCCAGTGCCCCGATTGGGGCCCGAGTTTGGTGTGCGGCCGCATGACCGACCCAATTCGCGCCCCCCCCCCAATTGTGCGTCAGTCCGACTTTGTCAGGAACCCCAAGGTTTTGAGTTGGCGAACAGTTTGGGCCCTCGTTTTTTGGCTGGCTCCCTTTGTGATCAGCTATTCTGTTTTACGTTTTCTTTGTTCCAGTCCGTCTTTTTGTTTTCTGCATTCCAATGTATTGCATTTTTTCCCTTAATCCAAACCCGGAAATGAATATACTGGCGTAGCATAAGCTCGCTGTTGGAAGAAGACGGCGACTGGAGTTCTGTTCCACGGGTTTTGGGGTCGTTTGGGGTCAGAGACCGGGCCCCCGAGGGAGTGCTCATGTTTGCCCCCGTTGCCGCACGTGTTCGCCGCGCTCACCCTGCTTGTCCTGCCCGTCTGCACAGTTTCAAGACTCCGTCCGGGTGACGGGCGAGGAGGGCCTGGTGTGGTCGTGCAACCCCGTCTTCGCGGATGAGCAGGGCGTGCCTTGGGGCCTGGGCCCGGAGGGCGGGGTGCCGCCCTCCCGGCACCCCGCGCGGCTGTCTTCAAGAATAAGCCGGACGTCCCGGATCAGCTCGGCTTTCGACGCGGAGCTGTCGCCACTGCCAAGGATCAAGACCAGCCACGAGAGGGAGCTGACGGACGACTCCGCGAAGGAGCTGGCCACTGGCGCGCTGAGTGGCGTGTCTCCGGTCGTGTCGGGCTTTATGTCGAGCAGGGACCCCCGCGATTTCGACTCTGCGAACATGAGCTACATGGCGGACTGGCTGTGCCCGGATGACTTGCGCAGCAGGGCCCTGCGGCTTTCCCCCAGGCCTGCGGGCCGCCAGGGGGGCGTCCACGCGGGCCCGGGGCGGGACTCGTGCATGGATGAGCTCATACACAGGCTGGAGGAGAGCAGCTGGTCGAAGATCGGGAAGCTTCGCAGCGACATTGAGGACAAGCAGGGGGAGATCGCGTCTTTGATCGACGCGGTGTCTGACGGGACGTCCCAGCGCAGGAAGATAAGGTCGTTCCCGTTGCCGGACGCCCTGGCCCAGATCCACGAGCTGCGGGAGATGATACAGCAGATGGACTGCGTGATCGCCAAGCTGTACCAGGACATCGCGCGCGAGATAGCGGCGCTGGCGAAGATGGGGAACGCGATGAAGACGCCGAGGGCGTCGGTGCCCTGGCACGTGTCGGGCGCGCAGGCGATGACACCGTGGCCCATGAGCAGCGGCGCGGTGCGCAAGCAGAGGCTCTCTTCTGGGGTGAGCTGCTCGACGCCTCCCTAAATCTCGCAGCCCGGAACCCAGCAAGCAAATGCCCTTGCATCCGCTGTGCGGCGCCGGGCGCTGCACGGTCAGCGAGTGTTTGTTGCCATGATACGCTGTTTCTTCCCGCCTTGGATGCTTATGTTGGCTGTTCCCTCGGGGGGGGGGGGATTCATTCGTGCCTGTCCAGCCTGTTTTGAACATGGCCTTGCAGTCCATTCGGGCAGCAGCTGGCCTGTATTGGCCACATGCTCCTTACGGCAGCGCAACCCAACCGATGTCCTCGCCCTGCAAGACAGTACCTGACAATATTTTTGACGAAATCGACGGTTTGTACTTGACGATATCGGCGAGAATGTGGCCCCGCACGAAATTCGCGTTCCGCTGCCGGGTACCTGCGCGTATGTACTGGAGCGTCGTACACCCCCATCTAACGTCGGTCTTGCCTTGCCTCGCAGTCCCGTCGACGCTCGATCAAGGGGCCGCCCAGGCAGGACTCGTTGGAGGGCGAGACGCTCAGCCGCCTGGAGGTGCAGGTCCAGGTCCTGGCGGAGCAGCTCCACGTGCTGCAGGACAAGGTGCGTGACCAGAAGATGCGGCGCTCGGCGGGCCACAGGTCCGAACACGCTGCCGCCAAGCACAAGTCTGATCGCCGGGCGTCCAGGAAGAGGGCGGAGATCCCCGCGGCCAAGAACGGCCCCCCAGCGGACGAGGCGGCTGTGCGCCCCGCGATCGCAGTTGCCGATTCGGTGGACCGACCCTTGGAGCCATTTGCCGAGGTCCAGGTGGTGGTTTCCGCCGAAGAGGAGGATGAAGTCGCCGCCGAAGAGGAGGAAGAAATCGCCGCCGACGGCAGCGGTGATGCCGGGATTGCCGAAGGGGGATCTACGCCGCGCTCCGCAGCTTCATCGGACGGCGCCGACGCGGCCAGCGTGGTGGAGAGGGGATCGGACGCCTCCGACGTCTCCGGCACCTACGAGATCGTCCTCAACCCGTTTTTTGATGACGGCGACAACCCGATCTTCGAGGATGATGTGGACGACGCCCGGATGCCGCCGCTCTTCGACGGCTGCTGGCGGCAGGAGCGGTTCTGGCCCACCGGGGGGCAGTTCGACTCCATCGCCGCGCTGCAGGCGCTGGTGGCCGAGAGCGACGCGGAGATCGCGCGGCTGACTGCGGAGATTGGGGGAGGCGTTGGGTACTACGCGCCGGTGTACTATGCAGCTGAGCCGGTGGGAGTTGCGGGATTCATGCACAGGAACCCGGTTTTCGACGGGCAGGGGCCGTACGAGCAGGGCGTCGTGGTGGTGTGAGGTGGGATTCAGGGCGTGGAGGGCGTTGCCCTTCGGCGCGTTTGGCACGAGATCCGCAGACGGGTGTATGTCCCATGGACGCCTCTGGCTGTGTGTGGACTTCTCTGAAAGCCGCCGCGGCTGACCCGTTCTTCGTGAAAAAAAGGGGAAATTACTGAGAGCAGTTGACAACACAACAGGGCGTGCCCTTCGCTGCGTCTGGGGCGTTTTTGGAAGGCGGCTCGCTCGGCCTTTCGCCTCCATGGCGCGGTTAGCCGACGGGCGGCCGCCCTGCGGCTTGGGCTTCCGAAGCATGCGTTGCCCGCGGGGCTGTGTGGCCCCTCTGGACACGGTGCCCCGCAGAACGGGGACCTGGCGGTTGAAACCTGGGGTTTTGGTCTGCCGGCTCTGGTGAGCACACAGCCTGGGGTCGTGAGTGTTTGTGGGGGGTGTCAAGGAAACTGTGGGTTGAAGTTGTGGGCCTGGGAGGCGGCCTTGGAGCAGTGGGGCTGTGTGGATGGTGAAATGGATACGTGCGAGAAGACAGAACACTGACTTTGGCTTTTCACTATCTAGAATTGTAGGCAGTTTCATTGACTGGCAGCATTGTAGCGCACAGCGGCAGTGACCTACGCGCCCAACATGAGCACGCGTGCCTGTCCGAGGACACAATAAGGGTAGGCAGAGGCCAGCGACGCACTTTGGCGGTGTGGCGGGATGTCCTGGTCTGTGGAAAGATACATGGTTGAAGACCGAGATTATTATGACGAGTGCCTGAGCTGGGCCTCCGAATTGACTGACAAGGCTGGAGAAAATGACTGTAGAGGGGGGAGGCGTCAGACAACTGCCTGGGCTTTGGGAAACGATTGTTGAAACTGAAGAGTTGTGGCGAAATGGGATGGGGCTGCAGTAGGGAATGGCATGTTGGGCTGGTGAGAAGAAGGCAGGAGTCGTCCAGAACGCGTAGGAGAACCGTCCGTGTTCTTCCCAGGTCAGGGAAGGCGCAGTGGACGTAGCGGTAGCTACTAACTACTACGGGCGGGCTGATAGTTGGATGCAAACCATGGCATAAATAGACGTGGATTGGCACCGTTTCCTGGTAATCGCTGTTCACACGATCGTGCAATGAGCCAGGGGCGCGCCGGGGCGCCCTTTCAGTGCGTGCACCTGAACAAGGAATCTTTTCTATCCAATTTGTTGTTGGTGGGTAAAGGCGGCAGGATAGTGCATGCAAGTTGAGGTGAAGTTGTGGTGATGTCAAGGTCAAGGTGTTGTTGATTATGGATAGAGGTTGCCACAGCCATGCATGGTGTGCTTCACTGCTGCACGCAATGGTGCAGTTGGGCTGGATGTTGGCTGTCTTACGTTATATTTTGATACCTGGCGTTGTTGGCTGTGATTGTTTGATGCACTGGAATTTGTGCTTCGAGCGGTTCTCCAAGCTGTTCTGTGTGTGTGTGTGTGTGTGTGTGTGTGTGTGTGTGTGTGTGTGTGTGTGTGTGTGTGTGTGTGTGTGTGTGTGTGTGTGTGTGTGTGTGTGTGTGTGTCAAGATGTTACAAAGCACATGCATGCAGGGCTAAAATCCCCCCTTTCCTCACACAAACGGGAGCTGTGGGGGGAGCCCTGGGACAGCACAAGAAGGGTTCACCGTTCGTCGCAACGAGTGTCAAAATCTAGTGTCCAATTAACTTATCAAAGTGTCCAATCTTCAAGGCCAACCCAGCCACCAAAAAAGCCAGTATAAGAGAAAGTCGCAGAAAGAGACCCCTCACCAGCAAAGAGCGAACACAATGCAAACCCAAGAAACCACACACCGAGAACCAAAACGACATCCAGAGGAAAAAAAACTGAAAAGCACCCGAATGCCACAGTAAAGTACAGCAAGGCCCAAGTACCTAAGGTACAAGGGCCGACGCTGGGTAGAACTCCACCCAGGTCCCCTCCAGTAAAGCGAAGAGGCGGTAGCCCCGCCTCCAAACCACCCGGATCTGGGCCTCAAGGAACGCGTCGTACGCGCCCCTGAGTCGCCGTTTCCAATCCAGCTGCCCCGCGCTGAGGTCGTGGTACAGCCGGAGGGGCGCCCCGCTCTCCTCCACCCACTCAGTCAGCACGTCACTCAGTCCGTCCCCGTACAGCACTCCTTTTCCCCGCAACGCGGCCACTTTATCACACATCCGCTTAAAGCGGATGATGACGGGGCGGGGGCGCTCCGGCGCGTACCGCCCCACCCGCCACACGTCCGACAGCTCCACCGGCCCGTCCGCCGGGTCCACCAGCTCCGCCACCACCACCTCGACGCGCGCCAGGAGCTTCTCCGGCGTCTCGTCGTGGCAGTCCATGAGGCCGCGCAGGCAGCATTGCCAGCGCCGCAGCTCCCCTTGGAGCTCCAGCAGCTCGTCAATCCGGGCCGGCCGCGCCGATGCGGCAGCATGGGACCGGCGCCGCGCGGCGACCGGGTCGGTCATGGAGGCAGGCGGCCGGGCAGGTCGGCGGCGCCCAGCGCCGATCGCCCCCGCAGCGGCCGCATGGGCGGCAGGGTCAGCTTGGGAGGGCGCCGAGGAGGGAAGGAAAGGGGGGGCTTCAGCGCGGGGGCGCTTTCCCGCCGGCGAGATCGGCAGGGAGCCGCGGGAGCCGAAGGCGGGAGGTGCACCTGCCTCTCCAGAAAGACATCCGGGGTCGGGCGACCCACCCGAATCGCCAGGAAGAGCGGCGGGATGGGACGCGGGCATGGGGCACGGCCCCACGTGGGCGCCGACCACCCGGCCTTAAGCGGCAGCGTGATCGCCACTGCTTGCGTATCAGCGGCGCCCTTGAAGATCGGCCCTGTAGGCGGGCCACAAGTTTCCTCTTTGTGTCGTTATTGTTGCCGGGCAGCCCGGCCTCATGACACATCCGCAGCAGCTCCGCCTTCGACGCCCCTTGAACGGCGGGCATCCGCCGATCGACGAAGGCGGCGGCGGCGGCGCGTTCTTGAGCATCAAGCGGCGGGTGGTGGGCGGGAACGAAAGCGGCCGAAGCCGCGCCCGTCCCACCCGCCAGGCCCACTGCCTGGGAGCCTCCAGCGGCGGTGGCGGCCTCAGGGTCCATGAGAAAACCAGCCGGGAAGGGGTTGGACCCGGGGGCCCAGAGACGCAGGTCGGACGCTGTGTGTGTGTGTGTGTGTGTGTGTGTGTGTGTGTGTGTGTGTGTGTGTGTGTGTGTGTGTGTGTGTGTGTGTGTACATTTGCTGTGTGGGTTTGGGTTATTTGCATGGAGTGTGCTTGCTTGCGATTGTGGGGGTTGGGGGCTCCCGGGATAGGGGCAAAGACATGCGCGGCCTTGGATGTGGCCAGCAGACAATCTTGCAGGTGCTGTACATGTATGCGGACGGATCACTGTGGTGATATGCACTTTGTTGTCGTAACAACAGTCTATGCAACTTTCTTCGCACCTCGCTAGGGAGAGAAGGCCATTTCAACGTCCTCCTTGCAGACGGTTCTTCCTCCCATACGTTCCTTCTAGCCCACGCAGGCTCGGGCTATGTGCAGGCATCTGCGCCCTGCCGGATTTGGAACCACGATCTGCAGATCCCCCCGCTCCCGTCGCCACGCGAGCACTAGGAATCCTCGCCGATGCTCTCGATCCCCATCCGCGTGGGCGCTGAATGCAGCCGCCGCTGCCGGACGCTCCATATGGCCTCGCGCGACGGTGGAGGGGCGCACAGCCCCTGTCTTCGTTGCTTTGCGTCGCCCAAGGTCGCACTAGTGAGGCAGGCGAGTCGCCTTGGGCGAGTCAAGGTTACGGATGATTTGGTACTGGGCGCAGCTATATTTGGTACTGGGAGCAGCCGTTTTTGGTACTGGGGCGATTTGGTACTGGCGGCAGCCGTTTTTGGTGCTGGAAGCAGCCGTTTTTGGTACTAGGGCGGATTTGGTACTGGGGCGGATTTGGTACTGGGAGCATTCACTTTTGGTACTGGCTGAAATTTGGTACTGGAAGTAGCCGTTTTTGGTACTGGGGAAATATATCTTCTTTCAGCCAACGCACCTGAGTGCGAGACAAATTCTTCTGCTCTATAAAGGTGGTAGCTGGCTGTTGATCAGTCATCACAGTTACTCCTCCAACATATCCCACCGGGTAATGTCTCCAATGATTGAGGGCATACGAAATCCCCAGTATCTCTTTATTGTATGGAGAGTACCTAGTCTTTGCAGGACATAACCTACGAGAAAGAAAGGCTATAGGTTGATGGCCTTTGCCCTGGTCCTGCATAATAACACCTCCAGTTGCCACATTACTGCCATCGGTCACAACCAAATAGGGATGACTGGGATCAGGAAGAATCAACATTGGCGCAATTGTGAGGGCCTTTTTCATTGGGTCCCCAATGCCAAACAACATTCTTCTTAGTCAAGTCGTGCAATGGTCCCACTATCTCAGCAAATTGGTATACGTAATGTCGGTAAAAGCTGATCATACCCAAGAAGCTACGAACATCTGCAACATTCTCCAGCTTCTTCCACTATTGTATAACACGAATCTTGACTAGCATGGGTGATACTCCATCCCCAGAGATCCAACGACCAACAAAGTCAGTACTGGTTACTGCGATTTTAGTCTTGCTGGCTCTTGCAAATAATTTGTACTTCTTCAAAGGAGCCAACACTTGTGCCAAGTGATGAGCATGTTCCTCCATATTCCGAAAGTAGATGATCAGGTCATCCAGGAAGACATTGAGAAACTTGTCCATCATGTCACTGAATAGATCATTGACCATCGCCTGAAATTGAGGAGGGGCGTTGGTCAGACCAAAAGGATAGACAAGAAACTCAAACTGCCCATAACGGCATTTGAAAGCAGTCTTTTCGACATCTTGTTCCATGATAAGCACTTGCCAATATCTGTTGTGTAAGTCGAGCTTCGAAAATACCTTGGCTCTTGCAAGCCTGTCTATTAGCTCCTCCAAAAGCGGCAATGGGTATTTGTTCTTCTTGGTGACTTTACTGAGCCACCTATAGTCCAAGCACATCCTCAACTGTCCATCCTTCTTGGGGACGAAAATAATGGGTGATCCCCAAGGTGACTCCGAAGGACGTGCATATCCTTGCTTCAGAAGATAGTCTAGCTGATGCTTGACCTCCTCCAACTCTAAGGGACTAAGCTTGTAGAGAGGTCGGCTGACTGGTTGAGCTCCAGGTTCTAACTCGATGTGAAATTGATGACCTTTCTGCACTGGTAGAACACCTGCTGGCAAATCGTTTGCAACGACATGAGCATACTCGTCTAGTGTTGCGATGATCTTCTCCGGTAGGCCTTGACGCTTAAGCTTGCCTACTTCAGAGCTCTCGTGCTCCTATGGCATCACCTCTGAAGGAATACTAACCTTATCAGCTGACCTTATCACCACCATCAACATATCCGATTTTCCTTTGAATGGACTATCCTCTGGTGATGTCTTATGCTGTTTTGGGCAACTGGCCGTTGGTAATGCCACATAGTCTTGTCCTTGTAGTACTTGTATCTTGCCCAACCGGAAATCAATATTGGGGTTCTCCTTAATCAGCCATGGTAAACCCAGGAGAACATCATGAGCCAATCCATGGAAAACATCTGCATCGAAGCTGCTCATGAACTGCCCACAGCAAAACTTAATTCCAAAGATACGACCCAATGTCTCACGAGTAGTCATGTCAGCCATCTGTAATTTCACCGATTTTCCATCCGGTGAAAGTCCAATCTATCGAGCTACTGTATCAGAAATATAGTTTGCAGTACTTCCATTGTCCAAGTAAGCCACAACTGCATGCCGGTTCATACTACCCAATAATTCATAGCCCATAAATACAACACTGACAAGAGGGCACACTAATGGGGTGCGCAGTCCCACTAGCTTTTCCCTCACATCTCCACCGCCAGTTTTGGGCACGACAGTACTGGCAAGTCCATCATTGACAATGCTTTGACCACAAATAACAGCGGTTCTGTCACTGAAGGTACTCTGACTGCCAGTAAATCCTGGTTGATTGCTTTCACTATCCTTAGCTGTGATCCCATCTGCACAGCTAGCACTGACTGAGGGATACAAATCAAACTAACTTTCGTGCAAAATGTCGGTAAGGGGGTCATGGAAAACAATAGAACATGCATCCTCTCATGCAAAATGTCGGTAAGGGGGTCATGGAAAACAACAGAACATGCATCCTCTTCTCTTTTTGTGCACTCAGAAATGGCGATGTTGCACACAAATTTCCTTGTTTTCTGACGGCCAATCTTGAGCACAACCGTTTTGTCCAAAAAAACACATAATCGTGATGTTGAGCACAAGTGCAGCCTTTCGGACCTTACCGACATTTTGCACAAAAGGCTGTTGATAGTTAACAAATGAAGGAGAGATGTGCAGTTCAAAGTGGGTGATGAAATACTATTTCAGAAATAGTCATCCGGACATCCTTTTGGCCCCAGCACATATTAGCTTAGTTTCCAACCAGGATTTACTGTCGATTTGTCAAACTATTTAAAATAGTGAAGGTGATTAGTCCAATAGCATATACTGTTGAGTTAATAGCGGTGCATTTTACATTCCGTGTGGAGAAGTTGAAGCCTTTTGATAGAAACTCAAAGTTTCAGTGGAATGTGGATCCACCCCCTCCAATGGAGGTTGAGGGGCACCTTGAATATGAGGTTAAAGTAGTTAATATATACAAAATTACTGGAGTTAGGAAGCGTTACCTTGTAGCTTGAAAGGAATACTTTCTCCATGAGGTGACTTGGGTGTGACGTGGCTGCTTGGGGTTTAGGCTTATTTGACATTTTTGGAGTAAAAATTATGTAATTGGGTAAATCGCTCTTTTGGGACATTATCTAGAGCTTCTTGGTTCCAACGAGCTTTTAAACGCCCGATTCCGTTAAGAAACGGCAAAGATATGGCCTCCTGAAGTCGTAGTACTTAGGGCCAGGGGGTCGGGGTTTAGACGCTTGGAATCAGAGGACAATGGGTCGATCGTAGGTGAATGGTGGATGGTGACTGGGTGCCTGGACGCGCACATGAGTTGTCTTGTCTTGATGTGACAACGATGGACCCGCGATCGGGCATCGCACATGCGATATGTGCGCGAGCATGCTGTGAATCCGTGTAACCGTTCTGGCCCACTCTCTGGCCTCCCACGAGCCATCGAACGACTGCCTCGCTGCGCCGCCACCTCTCGCCAACAGCAGGCCCCGGGGATAGATCCCCGTCGAGCATTGGGCCCACCGCGCGACCGCCGATTCGACTGCCCCGGAAACGCCCACCATCCGAGGTGGAGAGGCCAGCCGACCTCCAACGGCTGTGCTGCAGAGCAGGACGACCCCAGAGCCTCCGGAAACCAGCGGCTGCCGATGAGCCGCAACATTGGGAGTCTGAGTATAATCTTACTCAATGCAGCGATCTCCTTTCCGAATTTTACAACATTAACAAGCAATTGTACAAAAGAATACTCAAAGTCAAAGGAAATCAAAGAGGTATTAGTGATGGGCCTGTATGGAGTTTGGTGTAGTTGTTTTTGAGCAGGGTATGAGTATATATATGCACACTATGGGATATTTTTATTATCTTGTTCAATTACGATTGTTGTTGGTATGTTGGCATCTTTCATTTTACCTTTGATTTTTGGTAGTGTTGTGCTTGTGTTTGCAGACAAACACTTTCCCTAAGGGGGAGAATTGATGTTGATGATGCCATTTATAATGGCCAGTACTATATTGAGAATACTATACATTATGACTTGTACATTATACATTTGATTATAAGATGATGTGTGCGGTATAAGTGTGTTTGAAGCACACCATGTAAATGCCTCATTTTGGGTCTCTGAAAGTGTTGCGGTCTCTTTTGCACAACCCTCGCGTACACAGCACCAGGACCCACATCAGTAGGAGTGTGTGAGTGACAAATTGGTCCACAACCCTAGAGGTGGCCACCCGGATCCGTTAATAGCGGACAGAGGTTAATTTCCGTTAATTTTCCGTTAATTAACGGAAAATAACGAAAAAAGACAAAAATTAACCAAAAATTAACGGATTTTTGGATTTTTTGGGGATTTTTGGGTTTTAGTCATACTTATAGTTTATGGAATTCGCTATTAGAGAGTATGTTTATATTTTATTTCAACCTATGCATACTAGATTTTCAACTAGCCGCAGTTGTTGTGATTTTTTGGGTTTTTTTTCGATTTTTTTGGATTTTTTTCGTTTTTTCTGAAATTTTCTCCCTTTTTCTTTAACGAAATTTAACGGACAACTGATAAAAATTAACGAACCGGATTTAACGGACCGGATGGCACCCTTGAATGGCCACCTCTACACAACCCTCGCATACTCAGCACCAGGACCCACATCAGTAGAAGTGTGTGAGTGACAAATTGGTCCATCCCTGTCGAATGACTCACACCAACAAATCCATGGTGTGGATTTCTGGCAGTTTGCATATACATATTCAAATTGTAGCAAGACCATAATTCTGTGGTATATGTATGGAAATAGAAGGTTCGCTAATGGCACTGGGAGAAAACGGCATATCTGCGATGCCAACTGCGATGCTATTTTGACACAAAGTGATGCCGTCACGGTGATTGCGATGGCATGAAAATGGCTGCGATGGCATCAATGTGTGTCAAATGGCGTCACAATTGGCATCGCAAACAGGCCGTTTTCTGCTGGTGTGGTTGGCATGCCATTGTGTGTACGGTTGATTAATATTGGCATGTTGAGTAAGTGCAAGATCCATTTTTGTGTCTATAACTCACATGTTCCGAGGGCAGCAGTTTATTGCCCAGTTTTACACTAACCACTACCAAGTAGTACTGCAAAGTACGGTGGAAAGTGTATTGCTGCCTTTTCTAAAATCATGAATGCAGCCTATGTGCGGGAGTACTGCGAAAACATGCCGTTGGCTTCGTTGGTCAAGCGCATGGAGTGCTCCTACTACAAATATTTTAAATGACTGTCATTACAACCTGATGTGACCAGTGCCAGGCACTGGACACATCAGGTTGTAATGACAGTCATTGGGAAGGCCCTTCCCAAGCTGTCAACCTGCGTCATCTTTGAAGACCTTCTTCATTTTACTGCCGTTATGAGGAAGGTTCAACAAGTCACGATTCGACATCGTGCTGCCAACCCCTGCGCTGGTGGTCCTAGCAGCGTCCGCGCGCTTCGCTGACCGCGTCGTACCCGGGCAACCCCGGAGATGACATGACGTACGTGCTCGGGGCTCTACGGCGGTGCCGTGCAATTTGCGGGCTCAAGGCGACACCCTGTCACCCCACACACCCCACGGTGTCCCCTGGGCCTCTTGCGCAGCACCGAAATGCAAACGCGCATGTCATTGTGCCCAAAGCGTCCGTGGGGGCACGGGAGCGCACCCAGGCACGTAGTCCACTCCCCGCGCCGTTGCCCCGCCCCCGGAGCGCCCCGGACATTCCCCGTCCCCGGCGGATCTCCCGTGCCGCGCTCGGCCGGGCGCCGTCGACCCGCATGGCGTCCGGCTTGTAGCTTCCCGCGAGATGATCGGGGCGCCCGCTGGGCGTTCGGCCGTCCCCTGTGCGGCCAGGCCGGCCAGGCGCGGCTCCAGGCACCAGCACAGACTGCTCGTCCTGGGCGCCACCCTGGCCCTCCTGGCCGTAATCCTGTGGGCGCGCACGCTGCAAGTGGCGCCCGCCGCGCGGCGCTGCGCAGGGCCGTGGGCCAAGCTGCAGGAGGGGGGCGCCCGGCCGCGGGTGGCGATCGTGGCTCTGTCGGACGTGGGGCGGAACGTCAGCAAGGAGCTGTGGGATCCCAAGGGCCGGTCGTTCGAGGGCGTGCTGGAGGCGACGAGGGAGAACAAGGAGGGCTACGCCAGGCGCCACGGATACAGGTGGGATGCGGGGGGGAGAGGGGAATGACAGATAGCGCGCGTCCGCGCGTCGCCGATCAAAGATCCATTGTGGGGTCGCGCCCGGGCGCTGGGCAATGAGAAAGCCGAGCGATTTTCTGGGACGATTGGGCGGGGCGAGGCGTGGTCGTCAGCGTTGCGGGGGCCCAGTCGTTGGATCAGAAGATGGCTTTGTTGATCGCAAGATGGACGCGGACTGTCGGACGTCTTGTTGCGGGATGCGTTGTTGCCTCGCTGCTGCCTCCGTTGCGCGACCCCATAGGGAGGCAATCTTTTGAGACGGGCGCAGCGCCCAACGGAAACCGACACTACACCGAACGCCTTGGCGGAGGTCCGAACCCAAACGCTTAGTGGGAGGTGGCTGGCTGCGAAAGGCGGTCGATTGGAGGTTTGAAGGTTGCAGCATGCACGAGAAGGGCGGTGAAGATGCGCGGTCCGAGGCTGACGTTGCGATCCCCTGTTTGGGGCGTGGCCGCGCCGATGAATGCGAACCCACCTCGTTTGCCCCCGCAGGTACTTTGACGCCAGTTTTCTGCTGGACACCAGCCGCCCGCCGTCGTGGAGCAAGATACTCGCGGTGCAGTACTACCTGGCAGAATACGACTGGGTATTTTGGATGGACTCGGACTCGGTGGTCACAAACCCCGACATCAAGCTGGAAAGCATCCTGCCGGCGGGGGAGCGCCTGGACTTCATCGTGACCAAGGACCCAGCAGGGTACAACGCGGGCATGTGGTTCATCAGGAACTCGCCGTGGTCTCACAAGTTCTTGAGAACCTGGTGGGGCATGAGCAGCTTCGTCAGAAAGGCCGGAGACACCAAGAGCGGGGACAACGACGCCCTGAAACACATCCTGGCGAACATGGATGAGACCGAGCTTGAGGAGCACGTTGGGGTAGCCCCTCAGTGCACCTTCAACTCGTATGTCTTCAAGTCGTCCGTCAGGAATTGGATACGGCACGCGATGGACCCTGAAGAATTCGAGTGTGGCTTGCACCAGCAGGGGGACTTCATTGTGCATTTAGCAGGCATGCAGGACAAGTTGGTGCACATCCGGAAATTCCTTAACGAACGGCCCACAGGCTCGAAGGCGCCGTAAGCGCGAAAGAGAAGGCTGGAGTTTTGGAACAGGTTTTAACTACTTTGTCACCGAGCACACTGCAAGACAATGGAGTAAGCAGCTTGATGGCCCGATGGGAATAAGTTGTATAGACAGATCGTGAGAGTATACCTGGTGTGGCCAGGGCTTGCTATTCCAACATGCCCTTGTGTTTTGCAGCATTTCATTCGACTTTGGTAGGCAGATGGGCGAGTGGGGTGGTTTCTTACTCAAGAAAGGCATTTTATAAGCTTAGTTGGGTAGTTTGTTTTGACAAGAAGGGGCCAGTATGTGCAGCATGGCTGTGTGGACCTCAATTTATTGCTTCACACCCTAGGGATACAATAAGGCAAGGGGTGGGCGAGCGATTGCATGGTTTTCGAATTGACAGAAAGGGAGTTAGCTTATCTTTCAAATGCTATGGGAAGATCTGAAGGCCCTCGCTTTCTCGATTCGCAAATCGTGGTGCTGTCAATGGCACTGGCAGAAAGGGAACAGAGACGAAATGTAAGACTGTACATTGAAGATTTCTTACTGTCAGAATTTCATGGTGTGCTGGAAAGGGTATCGTTTTGTGTTGGGATCGTGGCTCCCTTGCATAGGTCCTCAGGCAGCCATCGGCCAGTGTGATGATTTGTGCCCAAGTCAAGACCCGACTGGATTGGCAGAGGAGCAGGGAATTGCTGAACAGCTGCCATTCCATTGTTTGCTTCCCTCAAACCTTGCAGCATCCTTGGAAAAAAATGGGCTCATGAGAAAACCAATGAGCTGTTGATCGCAAGAAAAGGGCGTTTAGTATCAAGGCAACCGCAGCCAAGGTGATAAAGGTACCATTCAAGGACAGCTGCCCATTGATATTATCATATCACTAAGAGACACCAAGCAACCAACTCAGAAAACAGTTGTGAGTGCAGATCAAGAGCCAATGTGTCGCTGTCCGTGGATATCAGGTGGATTGTCTGCACACTAAAACGACGTCTGTCGGCGGGAAGTTCATGCTGGGTATTGGATGCGCAGAAATGTTTTTGGGGCCTGCTCCTTGACGGGACATCACATGACAAAATCACGCATAGAGGCGATTTATGCATTGCCTCTGTTGTCGACAAGTATCACAACAGCAACGCTCATAAACAGGGAGTCGTCGTGGATTGCCATGTGTTGGCGCAGAGTCTTGAGCGATAGGCGCATCTGTGCGAGCATCTTGCCAGCTCCGCGTAGAGCATGAAGAGCTTAACCAAACGTTTCCCATTTCGGCAATCCAAGCGTACTGCGCGCTTTGCGAAAGTTGGAATGCATCGATAGCGCAGTTGAGAATTTGCTTGCAAGGCGCCGAGTGGGAAGCACGAGGTTTGGGCGCTGAGTTCGGTGCGCTGAATGTTCTCTAACATGGCCCAGGGGCATTTTCCATGATTCCAGGCAGACCGGGACTAGGGGCGAGGAAGGCGACGTGGTCCCATGACCATGGGCATCATACCACCCATGCCCATGTTCATTGGCTGTCCAGCCCAACACCCCACCAACATCGTTTCTGCCCTACTCCTGACCGCCGCAAGTCGTCCTAGCGCCCCACTTTCTGCATCATAGCAGGCACACGCTCTGCCCGGAGACCCTCACCTCAATCCTGTGACACGCGGGTTGTGAACATTACCTTCCACAGTGGCGTGAAGGGAAGCTCATCCACAACGGTACAGAAGCCCAAGCGTGCCCTGCTAAACCAGGCCAAAACGCAACAGCTTCGCGCCAGGCCCTCGGAGGCATCGCAGTCCCCGTCACGGCGACAGTTGCTGTGTGTTTGCTCCATGTTGATCAGCCTTGCCACAACCATTGCTGCGACCTCATTCTCGGGGCGCACTTATTCCCCCGTCCCTACCCTCAAATCAGAAACTCAAAGCGACAGATCTTTGACAGTCCCTCACGTCTCCCAAGCTAGCGAGTAGGAGACCTTCATATTTTCTCGAGCATTCAGCGGCGTTCCGCGCTAATTTGTCAGGCGCTTGAGCAACAGAAGTCCCTTATAATCACTCTCGATCCTTCTCAACCCCTTTAAAATACATTCCGTGGGGTGACATGAGTGGATGTGAAACGTTACTGAATTTACAACGCGTCGCGCGACCTCACCACTGTGTGACAGCGCTGTGCAGGGTGCACTGATGCAAATTTTGGTAATGGTTAACCTGCAAGGATACATTCATTCATTCACTTAGACATTTTAAGGAGATTGACAGGATCAAGAGCAATACTGTCATGGCAATCGACGCAACTATCGCTTGTGCTGTATCTTGCACATTGGTGGATATCACAGACGTGTGAATTACCGGACTTCCCACATTGAAACAAAAAATGCACCGTGTACATTACCGGAATTCCCACATTGAAAAAAAAATCCACCAATCCCTGATATGCGCAGAGTGTGACAGGTACAGCGCTTCATCACTGGGCACAATGTGCCCCACAAATATGCTTCGCATATTCATACCTTCAACAAAACCGCCTTCGTCGCTTTGGGAGGTATTCGGCCCGAGTGAGCAATACCACAGGTATCCTGAGTTGGCAAGTGTGGGCAGTGAAGTTGATTGGTGTCAGCAATGTCTTCTATGCAACCGGGTTTGCCCATTCAAGTACAAACGGGGATAGCCACTCCCCACCACACAGGTGCTTGTTTGCAGCGGCAACCCAAGCAGCAGGCGGGAAGGGCTGCATGGAACTTTGTTGCTGCGAGCGGAACTGTGGTGCGCATTTCAAATACCGAATTGTTATGTCTACCGTGCACTTGGTGGGAACAAAATGCCCCAAGAACGTCAACAGATGTACACATTTGTTCATTAATGGGTGCCGGTGCTCTCGATTCGACTTCGTCACTAATCCAGGCGCCAGGTGGCAATCTACACCTCGTCCAGCTCTATGATGTCCCCTTGCTGCATTCATGTAACATCTAGAGCGCAGAATTGGTTGACTGCTACATACTTGCAGGGAAAAATTCCTGTGCCACTGGCGGCAAAACAATAGCGAATGATCATGAGGTTTGCAAACACGGGCATATGCCCAAATCTAAATCGCCATAGCACATCATAAAGGGTTTCTTCCCACATCAAAACAATCACAATAACAGTGAATCCAATGAATATAAGGGGTAGAACGCAATGCACAACTACTGTGGCTCCATAGTGTCAGTACACGTCCTCCTGCCGTCCATAATCGCAGGCAGGTCACAACATCCATTGCTCATAGATAAGAGCTGTGGGGAGCCTATGTAGTCCCTGGGTTGCGCATCAGGAAAAAAACAGCGCAAATCACAATGTTGACTTCAGATCCACATATGTGCTTTTCGCTTAAGCAAGGCTGCAGCCATCAATTTCCATGTTGACAGACGCTGTAGCCCATGTTCCTCACAGTGAATAATTTGGCTTGCAGCATATGTCTTGCCTGCAACTTATGCAAATGGCAGCCCATGGAACAGCAGAGATGACTGCCAAAGGGTGCCGCCTTGAATTGTTGTTGCTGTTCAACCTCAGTCCATCGATCACACATGGGGAGCATAACAGGCCAATCACTAAATCCTGTAGAACCATTTTGCATGTTCTACACAGCCCGATCGTGAAGGCAGTTATTGCTGTCTCTGACAACGTGTTTCGGCTGGCTTCAGCAGCGGTTGCAGGGCACTCCTCTCCATTGAAAACTTCAGGAAGTTGCAAAAAGTTTCAAGTTTCTTCATATGGCACCGAGCACACTCTCCATTGGCTCCAGCGATCATTTCTTGAAGCAAAAGCTCATCCATCTATCGCCCGTTGGTGAAGACGATGGCTCTGGGGAGTCTCTGTAACTCCAAGCACCCAGATGGAGGACATCGCACCGAATCACGTGCACTGAGGTGTTCACACAATGCAACCTTTCCAGCACCTATCAGCCGCATTGGTCAAGTCCTCCTTCAGATGCCGAACCTCCTCGAGATGCAATTGGCTGTGGAGACCCACGGAAAGCAGAACCACCTGTGGCTGTGCTTAGATCTTTGGGCAATTACGGCATCTCCACATTCAGCTGATCCTCGTCATCGTTCACGCACCCCACATGCACTGACCCGCCTTCATCCGACGACTGCAATGAAAGGTTCGATGCCCAGGGGATGGTTGGGTACAGGGATGGTCGAGGCATCCAATTGCTGATCCATTTTGGGGCGTCTCAGGCACACTGAGAGCACGAGAGACTGTGGACCCATCCCCCATCCCTCCCACCAGCAGCTCGGGTACCGATTAACGGAGATCCGGCCGCGACCCGAACAAGCCGCCTCGAAAGCACTGACCCACTGGGCGGAGGGCGTCCCAGCGAATGCCCACGGGCACCGGGCGTCATCGATCGAAGTACTTCACCATCTGCACTTCCTTCCTCACCATGCCGCACTTCTCGTAGAAGCCCTGATTCTGCTCCGCGCAGTCCAGGATCGCCTTGTAGCAGCCCGCCTCCCTGGCGGCCTCCAGCAGCGCCGCGACCAGCCTCTGGCCCACCCCGTGCCCCCTGCAGCCCACGTCCACCACCACGTCCTCCACGTGGCCCACCTTCCCGCAGGCGTGGATGAACTTGCGCTCCACGAACAGCGTGGCCGCGCCCACCACCCGCCCCCGCTCGGGCTCCTCCGCCACCAGGACCCTGTAGTCCGGCGAGCCGCGCAGCTCCCTGAACCGCTCGACGAAAACGTCCTCCGGGACCTCGCCCAACGTTGTCAGCTGCGAGAGGATCCCCAGGAAGCCTTTGCCATAGTCGCTTTCCTCCAACTCGCGGATGGCCATTTCCATCGGGCCCGTGCGCCTTGGCTGCGTTCTGGCAACCAGCAGCCCGAACACTGCGCTGGCTGCCCGCTCATTTGACGCAGTCCTAGGTTTGCCAGTACACTAGCTTCGTACTGTTATGTACGGCGCATTCCGCTGTTATGGGGGGGGGGTACACGAGGGGCAGCATGCAGTCAGTTCGTCATACAGCGGCGGCCGCGCATTCAGCTGCAGTCCGCTCGGGGATGGGCACGGAAGGTCAGATGGAGGAGCCCACCCAGAAGCGACGAAAGCCCAAGGGATTGCACGACAAGCTGTGAGTTGCTTAACGCGCCGCCGGGTGCTGTGCATTGACGCGAATGTGACGGCGGGGTGTGCTCCCGGTTGGCGCACCCAGTCCATCGCGTACCCCGTGCGGGCCGTTCGCTGCAGCTTTGGGTTGTGGTGACGGAGGTGCGTTCTGTCACCGCGCCTTTCTGTCGGGTGCAGTGCAGCGAGGGCGCTGTGCGCAGGGGGTTGCCCCTTCCCGTGTCGTTCGCCCAGGCAGCGTGCTGGCCTTTTCAGCCAAGCACAGCTTTGGGGACTTCCTGCGTTTCCAGTCGCTTGTGGAGCTCCGATGGAGCGTCAAATTATGCAGAAGATGCTTGAGTAAATGATGATCGCGTTACGCAGATTCGGCAAAAAAGGATGGAAAAAGGTCACAACGGGCACTGAGCAATTGGTGAGCGTGGCTAATGGAGCCTCTACCATTATTGCCCATTGGATATGAGCATTTCACCGATGGAGCCTAGAAGGAGGCCTTTGTGGAAGAGAGCTCTTTCGGTCGGTGCTTGCGTTGACGTTGACAAGCTGCAGAGTATCCATGCCACAAGTCAATGGTGTGCAAACCTTGCTTGCCCCTGCAACCTTCAATTGCTTATGGGTATTCTATGGATGAATCCACTTGTTGTTTGGTTCTCCCTTGAACTCAGTGTGCTTTGTCACTGCTGACTTGACGTCACTTGCCAGGTGCCAATGATCAAGTGGTGGCACCGGTTTGGCATTCAAACCAGCAACATATTTCTGAAATAGCTTGCAGTATGCACGCCACCTCTCAAACATTTTGCTGATGCTCTGTTGCTGCATTGTGCAGCTGGATGGAGACGAAGGTGGTTTTGCGGGCCTGGAAATCTTGGATGCTGATGACGTCGATTTGTCATCCCTGGGTTTCAACAATGGTGCCAGCGCTGAAGATGACGGGCTTCAACAAAGATCCAAAACAAAAGAAGCAAAGAAGTAAGCAACATTGACTTTGACGCGTCTCATGAACGCTCTCATTTGCTGGGGCCATTCGAGGTACCCACGTATTTGAAGTCTGGGTGGCCATGGAGGGCAGACTATCTTTGGAGATGCACATTGCTGGTACTGTGTCGTTTCTGGTCGAATGTTATCATTGTGGAAGTAAGCATATTGAATGACGTGAGGATGTTTGTGTTGAACCAATAGGAGGCATTTCATCCAGTGGGCGTCCGCCGCAAGCACAAGATTGTATGTGAGACTGGCAGTGTTATTTATATTGCAGGAGAAAGAGGGCTGAAAAGGAGCAGGCTGATGAATCCAAAGGGGCAGTAGAAATCCCCCGAGTACAGCCAGCCAAGAAGGTCACCAGGAAGAAAGGCAGAAAGCACCAAGAGGAGGGTATTCATGCTGCCTCCAAGGCCAAGGCAAAAAAACGGAAAAAGGCACAAACTCCAGGCGATGATGACAACGAGCAAGAGAATGAACTTGTGAGGGACGCTGCTATTGATCCAAAGGTGGGACAACTTTGGACAGGAAGGATGGATATTCTGCTAATGGGAACATTGACAAGCTTGCTATCTGCAGGGCATGCAATGCTGCCCTTTCAACTTATTATTATTCAGTGGATCCTCTTCTGCTGCTTCTCTGAAAGACATAAGGAAGCGCTGTCCCAGTACATGGCAGGAAATGTCACAGGCTGGTCACAGAAATGAAATGTGTGCCCAACAAAGGCATTCTGTTCCGCACTGCACTCAGGAGTGGCATGTCTGTGCCACATTTAAATTATGAACCTGACACAAGGAATTGTTTGCATGTGCAGGTCCCTTGTGCTGTGGCAGCACAAGAAGTAGAAGAAGTTGATGTTTCTGCATGGGGTGATCTGGACCTGCATCCTCTAATCTACAAGGCGGTTTCAAAGCTTGGGTTCGAATCTCCAACACCTATCCAGAGCTATTGTTTGGCAGCAGCTATCCAAAAGCGCAAGGATGTTGTTGGTGCTGCACAAACAGGATCTGGGAAGACTTTGGCTTTTGGAATCCCTATTCTGCAGGTGAATGCCAATTTGTTGTGTTCTGTGGATTTGAGGGCTGCCTGAGCAGCACTGCTGACCAGCAGCTGAGTTGCGCAACAGACGAAATGTGCCCTAGTCTCAGACTTTGCTTGTTCACAAGAGCGATGGATGCAACAAGCAACGAAGGAGCAGTTGAAGAGAATGAAGCTATGAGAGTAATTGGCTGTGAATAAGCACAACAATGAACAGCATCGCAATTGCTGAGCCCCTCTGCTGCAACAGTGTGTGATTGATCATTGTGGATGTCCACAGTCCCAGCTAGCCACACCTGTGCTTCAATTTTCCAGGGCTTGAAGTTGTCCACCAAGTCGGCAAGCCAAAATCTGCATGGACATGAACACACCAGCGACAACCTAAACAATGGGTTGCAGTCAAGTAGCAGATCGGAAAATGCCCAACTCGGCGTCCATTTTGCCATGCTGTACTTTGTGAACCTATGCACAAGATGGTTTGAGACGAACATTTATTAGTGTGGTGCATGTATTCATTCTATGTCTTAATCCAGTTACATTGTGGAACTGTGTGCGTCTGGTGCCCAACGCTAGTGTGCATAGTCTGCTCTTTGCTTGAGGATGCAGCTTGCAAAATCTCAGACAATTGCGGTCGAGTCGTGAATTGCTTGCTGTCAGCAGTATCACAACAATTTAAGTCATCCTTGAACACAGTGGTGCTGATGCTTCTGTCTGTGTGCAGCTTTTGTTGGAGGAAAGGGAAATGGCAGCCAGGAAATCATTTCCATCAAAAGACATGGAAACCCATAGTTCCTTTCTGAAGGAATCTCCTGCAGCACCTCAGGATTGCAATGCTTCCTACCCCGGACTTGAGAACGGAGGCAGTTCAGCAAAACCCAGGTCCCCCAACAAAAGGAAAGCAGGGCTGGCCTTGAGCGAACCTGAATCCCCTGCTGCCAAGCAACACAGTTGGCCAGCATCGCACCATGACTCTCGGTCCACTGAAGGCAAGGCTGATGCTGGCCTGGGTCTTGTGATGAGCGAACAAGATCCTTTTTGTGACAATCCTTGTGATGCATCTGACGAAATCGAAGAGAACATGGGGTCTGTGCTCGGGGACAGTGATGAAGAATGCCGTCATGAGGAGGATGAGGCAGTTGCAGCCCCAAGGGACCCGAGTCACGCTCTGAAGGCATTGATTCTCACGCCCACACGAGAATTGGCCTTGCAAGTGTGCAAGCACCTGCAGGCTGTTGCAAAAATTTGTGGGATTTGGGTTGTACCAATCGTTGGGGGTCTGGCGCGTGTCAAGCAGGAGAGGCTGCTAAACAGTGAGTGTGCAATGCTGAAATTGTAATGGCCACATGTTTAACCATTCAACCTGGGCAGCTTGGAGAGAAGAAACTGTTTCAGCGAGCCACAGGTCGAAGATGGTTCCTATCTCATTGGAACACGATTCTTAGAACAGATGCTGAAAGTGCCATCGGTGTCATGGTCTGGAACCCTGCAAATGTGATGTCTTGTGTTTGGCTTTCATTGTGTTGTGGGCAAATATTACCCAGAGCAGTAACCGCACTGGGGACCAATGTTTGTGTCAGGCAATGCCCACTGCAAGGTGAAGTGAGGACTGCAGGTGTCACGCATGAAGAGCCATCTGTGGATGCATGTCTGCTTCAGCTTCCATGAGTTCCTTCATTTTCTGTGATTCCCAACAGCAACATTGGTATCCTAGGAATCTGAAATTCATTGAAGGGAACGTGAACGTGGCATGCTGCACACAGCAGTTGGTCTCATTTCATCACTGTCTGCTTGTGTAGAGAACCCATCTGTGGTTGTGGCAACCCCTGGGAGATTATGGGAGTACATGAGAGAGGGACATGCACACTTAATGGATTTGAGTCAGCTGAGGTTCTTTGTAATTGATGAGGCAGACAAGATGGCAAAGCAAGGCAGCTACCAGGTGAATGATTGATGTCCAATGCTTGCAGTTAGTGTGACATGGCACTGCTTGTCATTGGCTGGCTCTTGGTGTGGGATGCACAATTGCAAAATGTGTCCTGGCTGCATTCTGCATTCTCCTATCTTTCAAATGTTCTGAAGATGAACCCCAGTTGCCCTTCCACCTGTTGTGCAGTGTTGGGTTTATGCACTTTCGCACTGTTACTGCCAGCGCAGTTTGTGCCAGATTGCCGATGTGAAACTCTCGGCACTGTGACCCTGCCGCACCCTTGCAGTGGAGATAGCGAGTGCCATTGGAATTGACAGCGCACCTGCTGGTTCTGTGCAGGAACTGTCCAACATCATCAAACTTGTACCTGAGTACAAAGTATTCAAGGATGGTTCCAGGGAGAAGCATGCCTCAAAAGGAAAGAAGGGTCCCAAGTCTTCACCAGCGGTTACCCCCCTGGTTGCTGATGGCGACCGCAAGATGCAAACATTCATCTTCTCTGCCACACTTACCCTGCCACAATCACTGAAGGCTCGTCTGCGGAAGCTCGCCAAGGGCCCTAGTGGTGGTGCCACTTTGGATAGCGTTATGGATCGCCTGAGATTCAGAGGCATCCCTGAAGTGGTGGATCTGACGAATAAGAAGCGGATTGCTGATAAACTGGAAGAGTCCTTCATCATATGTGGTGATAATGAGCGAGATGCTCACCTGTATTATGTGTTGGTCAGGTGAGGCTTCTGTGCTGTTGTTTGGACTTGGCATGGTGATGAGCTGGCGGCTTCTGCTGGTTGTGTTGGGATGGGCGGTTTTGGGGATCGCATAAGTGCATGGACGTGGTGAGAGAGGCCTGGGCAAATTAACCAAGCAGTACCCAGGGACACAGCTGCATGACCATTGGCCTGGCCTTCACATTTCTTTCCTGCTGTCCATCGTTTCGGCCTTCAAACAGGGATAGCGCTGGTCATCTGCCTGCGCTGTGCTGACTTCGGTGTGTGCAGCAATGCAGCAGAGCATTTGCTTCAGTACTTGCCTCAGCAATCACATTTATCAGCACAAGACTTGCCTACAGATTCTCATCACATCGAAATGTGCATGCTGGAGAAAACTGTCGTTGCAAGCTGACTGGGGGATACTTTAGAGGAGACCTGTGGAATGATGAACGTCACCAGGGGAAGGCTTTTTATGTCTGTGCCTTGCCTTTGAAAGGGTTTACCATTCGGTGAAATTACGCTCCCCTGGAGTTGCCACCGGAGTCTGGTGACCAGACCGCAGATTGCATTCTGCTGGGGTACGAGTGTCGAATATGTGACAACGTGCTGATTGTGTGCCTTGTGCTCTACACAGGCATCCAGGAAGAACCCTCATATTCACAAACACCATAGCCATGGTCAGACGTGTTGCTGCCATGCTCCAGTCACTGTCTATCAACGCCCATCCCATTCATGCTCAACAGCAACAGAGGCAAAGGCTGAAATCGTTGGATCGATTCAAAGACGACCCCAATGCAGTGATGGTAGCCACAGATGTGGCTGCCAGGGGACTGGACATACCTGATGTGAGGTGCGTCATCCACCATCAGATCCCTGTCTCGGCGGATGCCTACATCCACCGATCTGGGCGAGCAGCCAGGGCAGGGAACGATGGTGTGACGATCCTGCTGGTAATTCCCAAGGTGAGGCAAGCAGATGGAGCAGGGGGCCATTCAATGCTGACCTGCAGGACAATTGTTATTCGTGGTTGTATTTGAGCCCTGGACAATATTTGGGTATCAAAGTTTGGATGATGTACCTGGTACATTTGCTCTGGGTTGTTTGTGCTTGGGCAATGCTCGTTGTCTGTTAGTTTTTTTTGTTAAGTTTGTGAGTTGTAAGTTGTTTGTTATGCAGATTTCGGTGATGCCACGTGCTCTGTTTTCTTCTGTACTAAGGTGTAGACAGCACGCAAATAGTTACCAGGCTTCCATTATCCAGCGTTGGTGGAAATCGAAAGCAGCAAGGGGTTTGGTGATGAATTGAGTCACATAGTGCGGGGAGTGGCGTCCTGTGCCACACAAAAAGCTGATACCAAGAGATGGCAAGGCCCCACCATTGGCACATTGCAAGCACACTTGCCAAGCACAAGGCATTATTACCTCAGATCTTAGTTTCGGCCATGTCTGTATGCTGCATTGCTCACAAACAAGCATGGCTGATCTGTATTGCAGGAGACACTTCGATTCCATGCTCTTTTCAAGGTGTTGGAACGGCCCATCCCAGCCGAATTTCCTGTTGACCTCCAACTCTTGACAGAGTGCAAGCAAAGAGCCAAGCTTGCAAGAGAATTGTATGAGGTGTCCAGCAAGCTGTCGAACCTCACGGAGGCCAAGAAAGACAGATGGGTGGCACAGGCTGCAGAAGCTCTGGAAGTTGACCTTGATGAAGACAGTGACGAGGACACTGAAAGGTTGGTTCTGTGGCTACCTCCCTGGACTGGAGTTGGGCAGAAAACAAGTTGGTACTGTGTGTGAGTGCTGCCGGCACAGCTAGTGTTAACCATGTTCAGTGAATGGAGGCTCAACACCCAATCGCCTGATGCCTTCATTCTGTGGAACATGTCCGCAATCCATTTGGTGTCACAAGGGAGGGCAGATGATCAAGCAACAACAATGGCTACAGCCTAGTCTCTGCCATTCACTGCTGGCGAAATATCTCCAGGACTGCTGACTTTCTGAACAAGGCGCATCTACCGCTGTTTTGTGTCATGTCAACCTGTCCACCAGTCTGCATTGAAAATACCTGTTGACATGATGTGCTGGACATAACAAATTGTGCTGCATGGATCTGTGACGTTCTGTTCACAGGTGCTCCAACGACAAGGTATCCTCAGATTTCGAAAAGGGAAAGCTTCAGGCTGTGCAGGAACACCTGAGACAGCAATTATCCAGTAGGCTCATTGCACCACTCCAGAGGAAGATCAATAAGAAGTTTTTTGCTGGTGAGTTGTTGCAACGAACTGTATGTGAATGCATGTCTTCACTTCTGAGTGTAGGACAAGTGGGAAAGCATTTATTGTAGCACCACTGCTGCTGCTGTTTGATATCCCTTATTGACGCAATATGGCTTTTGGCATCATGGCATTCTAGCCTTTTGCATTCTAGCACTGTGGCAATATGGCATTGTGAACTAGTTGTATTGCCTTGCCTGGCCACTGCAGGAGGGTATTCAGCCTTGCCAGCAACAGACGTACAAGCAGAGGCTCCTCATGAGGGTGATGTTGATGGAACTGCCCAAGCTGCAGTAGCCCTAGCTGTGAGTATAGCTGAGCGTTTTCAGGACAGCAAACACAAGGCAGGAAAGGTAGAGGGATCTGTGCAGGATCGGCGCCTGGCTCGACAAAGGCGGGTGGATGCTCGAAAGAAACGAGTAATCGCCAAACTGCCTGCACTAATTGACAAGGGCCTGCTCAAATATCAGAGAAGGCAGGGCGAAAAACGATCTGGGCTAGTCGTTATCCCTCAGATGCTGGGCAGAGAAGCATCTGGCCCTGATGCTTTGCAAGCTCTCCGAAAAAAGCTTGGAAAATAGGTTGACATGGCATTTTACATCTTTGACAACATCTATTCTGGAAATGACAGCACCTGGCAGCATGTTGCAGACTTGTGAACGTAAGCTGACCCACGTTGCGCTAAGTTGGCATTGCTCTGTTGAGCGATTGTACAGCACCGTCGTAACGATCTTGTCAATGGTGTGTATGATCCTAATGCGGGGTCTGCAGCGATTAGCCCAGCTTGACTGTGCCACAATGGCAGAGCACCGACTCGCAACATGAAGATTTTCAATCTGCTGGCATATACTGTGTGTTGCATCAAGTCATTACTGAGCAGAAATGCACTGGCATGCAGTCACATTCAGATAGGCTTACAACCTGCGATGGAGGGCTTCCAGTATGGTGCACAAGAGCACACCATGGCCAAGCCATGCAGTTTCAAACACACGCAGCATTTATAAAACACTGCTGCCCTGTTCCCATGCAAGGCGAACTGTTGATTGCCGGGAATCTTAAACAGGCTCACATCCACATTCCTTTCTGTCCTCAGCTGCAATCTTGCTGTATCTTATACCACTCCATGCTTTCAACAGCTGCTAATGTTCAAATAGCAGCCAATGTTCCACCACCGCAACGTGTTGGCTGTCACATCCCCATCCTATCTGTGCTTAGTGGTTGGTTGCTTACTGGTGTGTATTCCTTACCACTGCCCTCCAGTTTGCTGTCAAGAGTTGGGGTGTGGGCCTGTACAAGCTTCTTTGCATTTGAAGGATCAACAACACCAGCAACGCTGGCCCCAAGTCCACACAGGTTGGAATCCAGCATGCTATTCTCATTCCCGGACATGTTTCCAGAGTCTCCACAACTTTCTTCTGGCTCCCCAGCAGATTCGTCATCGTCACCAAACATGGGTCCACGTGACCCCTGGCACAGCAGCAACAAAGATTCAGCATAATATCTTCATATGTTTTGGTCTCATGACACACCTTGGACCCTGATACCGGCATATTGTTTTGAATATTGTCAGTATACATGCAACATTGGTGACTGCCAATGTTGAAAACTGACTGACTCCAAAGGAAAACATCAGGAAGGGCAGTAGCATACAAGGGTCACTGATTTGATGAACAGTGGAAACAATGGATGAGTTGAGGGCCAACGGCCGTCATTTCGAGTTTTGACACTGGTGACCCATTGATGCATTCAATTGCAACTGGGGCACAAATACGCCCTTGCTGACCGCTGGGACTTGCAAGCACCCAAATGTCGTGAAGGGTATATGCATGTGTGTGAATTGTCACAAAACACAACAGATCACATATTCCATTGCTTCCTCTTGTGTGCTTTTCTTGCACACTTCTCTTCCCATTGAAACGTTCTCCATTTAGCAATACCGTAATATGTTCAACCCTTCCATATCCAAAAATTCTGATGTTGCACTTTTTGCTCCGCATTTTCTTTCGTAGCACTGTTTTTAAGTTTTTTACGTTGCTCTGCAAAAATTCTTTTCAAAAGGCCAAGCGTAATGTCATTATGCAGAACAGTTGAGTACACTACAGTAGAGTCTCAAATGCTCTGATGGGGAATGGCCAACCATTGTGTGGGCCTGCCCTTTGCCAAAATGCAGCATGCAAGAACAGACCAACACCCCACATGTTCTCCAGAAACAAACACCTGGTTTCATTGCCCACCCCTTTCGACTGCTGTCACCTCTGTGCTGCATCCCTTTTGACACATGGGATTGCACACCTGCGTTAAAGATATGTGGTCCTCAAGGCTGGGGTCTTCCTGACCTTCCCTTGAACCCATCATTTCCTGCACATGCGCGCACGTTGGGTTGCCAGTATCCATAGTGCCTGCCACACAGGGAGCTTCGCCGACCATGATGGGGAAGGAAGGATAAGGGGATGGGAACAAGCATGGCCTCGTGTCCCCGCTGTGCATTTGTGCTTGCATCTGAAGAGGCTCCAGGGGTGCCCTGTGCTGGGCACTGGTGGGGGCATGTGGGTTGGAAGCATCGGGGTCAGCAGCACAAGTGCCTGCTGTGGTTGGCACTAATTCCTGGTGTTCCTTCTGTTCCATCGTTTCCTTCTGATCCATTACTTCTGTCAACGAGCAAAGATGTCAGTGGCAAAGGTTGGCACACATTTCCATTCACAAAGCAAAATGAAAGTCGAGCTTGTGCATGTAGGGTCTGGAATCGACACTGGTCTGTTGTCCTGCTGCAGAAGGGCTTCTATATAGTATGCATGTGATCAAGCCTGGCTGCTGGTCTTGCAACATGATGCACAGCACCGTGAGCCACACCATTGGTCCTGTACCATTCGTTTCACAGTGTCTCCCACAACGCATGGATCTGCACAGAAGGTACCTCCATTGGTAACATAAGTACATGTCCTGCTGTCACAGTGCAACAAGCTCTATCTGTGGAGCGCATTTGGATGTTCAACACACATAAAAATTGGGGTACTGTGGTGTAGAGATCAGCGAGGTCACATGAAATTGACACCATTGATTCAATCAAGCAGCATATTGTACCATGAGTTTTTTTACGCATGTTGCTTTGAACTTAACCAAGAAACATCCAAGTTTTTTCACAGCTTGGCAAACTTGGTACTGGCCTTCCCACAGCTCAACAATATTGGCAAATTCTCAGCGCACCTTGAGCATCATGGTCAGCTGCAGGTTCTGCCAAACAGCAAGGTTCCTTGCTGCCACATATCGTGGTAGCATCGGCACCATCTGCTTCAGCGTCATCTTCGTTACCAACTTCATCTTTACCACTGCTATCTTCGCCTGCACAGATCTGAGTGGCATTTTGTGCTGCTAGCTCAGTGCCAGTTGTGCACCTGAACACCTGGTCCATTTCACAAAAGCCCTTGACAAGCTCATCACACTCGCCAGCAGCCTCCATCATTCTGCTTTGCACCTGTAAGCGAATTTGAGGAACCAAGTCAGCTCCCACGTGGTTCTGGCTTTTTGAGGGTGGTATGATTGTAGGAGGGCTTCCATGAAATTGTTT